TTCTTTAAAACCAGAATAAAGCACATCTTGTTCCAAATAATTGTTCTTAAGACCTCAGAAGAATTATTAAATTATTCAACCCTTGGGGCTCCTGGGTGGCTCGGGCAGTTAAGCATCCGACTCTTGATCTCAGGGTCGTGAGTCTGAGCCCCATGTTGGGCTCCATGCTGGGCATGAAGCCTACTTAAAAAATTATTCAACTCTTCCTTCCTTAAAATTCTTACTTTTCTATACCGTATTGGCATATATGTTATTTCAGTTTTAGAATTACTTTGTACTAGAATTTAGAAAATAAAAATATTAGACAATAAAGAAATGCTTCCATTATATAGAATAATATATAATCTTATTGTAAATAAGATTTGCTAGCTTGCTTCTTTTTAGAAATTTAGAAAATTGTAGGGCGCCTGGGTGGCTCATTTGGTTAAGCGACTGCCTTCGGCTCAGGTCATGATCCTGGAGTCCCGGGATCGAGTTCCGCATCGGGCTCCCTGCTCGGCGGGGAGTCTGCTTCTCCCTCTGACCCTCCTTCCTCTCATGCTCTCTGTCTCTCATTCTCTCTCTCTCAAAATAAATAAATAAAATCTAAAAAAAAAAAAAAAGAAAATTGTAATTCAGCTATGTTTAAGTTGTACATCATTGTAATGTTAGTATTACAGCCAAGAATGCTTGGCTTCCACCATTGGCATAGGGAAGTATAGTTCTTTTCATGCATAACATCATATACTGCTTGTTGTTGTTAGCGTTCTCCTTCAAGCCTAGCAGAGCAACCTTGTACTTCCTTTAACAAGGCATGTTGTTAAATTCAGGTTAAATACTATATATTTTATACCTTAGTTGTCTTTCTTTATTCCTAAGGTTTTAACTTACCTCCCCTCCTTCTAGCCATTCTTGCTCCCCAGACACTAAGATGTAGAAAAATGAGAAATAAGGGAAAATAAAAATAAAAATTCTTGCATCAGTAATCCATTCAATACATGCCCTCTTTAATACCCATCACCAGGCTAACCCATCCTCCCACCCCCTTCCCCTCTAGAACCCTCAGTTTGTTTTTCAGAGTCCATCGTCTCTCATGGTTTGTCTCCCCCTCCGATATCCCCCCCTTCAGACTTCCCCTCCTGCTATCTTCTTTTTTTTTTAACATATATTGATTATTTGTTTCAGAGGTACAGGTCTGTGATTCAACAGTCTTGCACAATTCACAGCGCCCACCATAGCACATACCCTCCCCAATGTCTATCACCCAGTCACCCCATCCCTCCCACCCCCCACCACTCCAGCAACCCTAAGTTTGTTTCCTGAGATTAAGAATTCTTCATATCAGTGAGGTCATATGATACATGTCTTTCTCTGATTGACTTATTTCGCTCAGCATAATACCCTCCAGTTCCATCCATGTCATTGCAAATGGCAGGATTTCATTCCTTTTGATGGCTGCCCTGATTTTTTTTTTTTAACATTTTTTTTGGCCTCTCAAAAAGGAGCTCATCTTGCACTGAAATGTTTGCAATAAAGGCATACAATTTGGGGCCCTGGGTGACTCAGTCGGTTAAGCTTCTGACTCTTGGTTTCGGCTCAGGTCATGATCTCAGGGTTGTAAGATAGAGCCCCACATTGGGTTCCACTTTCAGCACAGAGTCTGCTTGAGATTCTCTCTCTCCCTTCCCCTCTGCCCCTTCCTCCACTTGAGTGTGTGCACTCTTTCTCTCTCTCAAATAAATAAATAAATAAAATCTTTGAAGAAATAAGTAAAGCCATACCAATTTTCATTACATACTTGGAAATTAGGCTGAATAGGTTAAGAAAAAAAAATAGGCCCTTATTCTCCCCTCCCCCCCCAAAATATTTTCATTTTCTAGTACTGACTCCTCATTGCCTCTTCACTTAAATGAATCTTTTTATTTCACTAAGCCCAATATGTTTTTACTGGAATGTTCTTTAAGAATAAGGCCCAGGTAAAATAACTAAACAGCTAGCCCAGTCAATCAGGAAAGCTTGTCTTATTAAGAATAACTAATTAACTGTGTTAGATTAACTATAACTTCAAAAAAGAAACCACTCCCCCCATATCTTGGGCAAAAATCGTAGATAACTTACTGACAAGGAAAAATCTTTCCCTGCTGAGGATTAGAAAGATATGATATTTGAAGTAAAAAGCTTCATTTCCTTTTTGATGTAATTATGATGGTTCTTGGGATGTTGGATTTTGTTGCTGATGCATTCTACATTCTATTACTAACAGGCTTGCCGAATTGTGTTGGAATTTAATTGAAATCATGTTAATAAAAATGTTCCTTCCAATGCTTGCAGAGAAGTTCCTGTAAAACCTGATATACCCAGACCGGGCATATGTAGGGCCTTCCCCTGTGTATGTGTAGGCACACACATGTACTTATGCATACACTCACAAACTGTTCAACTTACACTTTTTTTTCTTAAAGATCATTATTTATTTGATAATAATGAGAGAGAGAGTGCGCACATATGCTCAGGGGGCATGGTGGGGGGGTGCGGGGAGTGAGGCGCAGAGGGAGAGGGACAAGCGGACTTGCACTGAGTGCAGAGCCCCACAACCAGGCTCAATCTCACAACCTTGAAATCGTGACCTGAGCTGAAATCGAGATTCGGATGCTTAACCTCTTGAGCCACCCAGGTGCCCCCAGCTTACACTTTATAACGGTATCAGATCTCTATTTCAAAGAAATTAATAAATCCAGAGAACTGTTGTGTAATCCCTGTGATATAGTAATGTAAGTTCCTTCCCATTCACTTCATTTTTAAAGCAAATAAACAAATACAGATGTTCTTTCAGGATGATTTTTCCCCCAAACAGATTCTTCACATTCAAATCCTTAAATGAATTTCTCAGTGTTAGCTGAGCTTTTGTACTTCAGATGCCCTTCTGACTTAATGAATTCTCCAGGCTCTGCATTTTACTGTTCTAAATAAATCAACATTTGGGAGGATAGGTTGAATAGGACAAGAAATCAAGCACATGACATCCTTGTTTGTGATGCCTTTCTAATATGTAGACCTTCTTGAAAGATAATGATGAAAACAAATTCTTTGCAAGGTGACATTGAATTTTTTATTTTTCTGAGAAAAAATCAATAAAACAATTTTGCCATTGGAAACACTTGGAAATATTTCTATTATAGTAAAAAATTTGGTGTTATACTGAGATACAGTGTGATAAAATTTTGGAAAAGATATATTTAATAATTTTGACTGCCTATTTTAAGAATTATAAACTGTTAGGGGCACCTGGGTGGCTCAGTCGTTAAGCGTCTGCCTTCGGCTCAGGTCATGATCCCAGGGTCCTGGGATCGAGCCCCACATCGGGCTCCCTCCTCGGTGGGAAGCCTGCTTCTCCCTCTCCC